GTGGGGGTGGGGGGGCGGGGCTCACAGCTGATTGGTGCCGGGATCCCCAGCTCGCTGTCTTTTCCCCAGGGTTCCACGCCACTGCTAGGCCTTGCAGTGAGCTGGATGGTGTGACCCATAGGACTGCTCCAGCTGGTCTTGCAGGCCTGTGTCAGCGGAATCAGCCCAGGAAACATGTAGAACCTAAGTGAGGTTTTGACAATATTAACAGTGATGCCAGGGACTGCAGAGAACCTTTGGACATTCTACCTTGAAACCTAATGGTAATAGCTAATGTCTATAGAGTTCTTCCTCCCTTCTACTTATATATATATTTTATTCAGACAATAGGTGGGACTGTAGGGAATACATTTAAAGCCATTTTACAGACTTGGTAATGTAGGAGGTCCCTCAAAAAAACCCAGTCTTGCTTGAGGTCACTCAGTGAGGGTCTGACGCCATTTCTAAATGTAGGCCAGCTACCCATTTGCTGCAAGACCATGGATTAAAAAACAAACAGCCCGGCTGCTGTCGCTCAGTGGTTGAGCATCAACCATGAACTAGGAGGTCAGGTCAGGGCACATGCCTGGGTTGCAGGCTCGATTCCCAGTAGGAGGCGTGCAGAAGGCAGCTGATCAATGATTCTCTCATCACTGATGTTTCTATCTCTCTCTCCCTTTCCCTTCCTCTCTGAAATCAATAAATTTTTTTTAAAGGAGAAGTCTAGAGAATTATTCTTTTCCTTTAGTTTTTTTCTTTTTTCTTTTTAATCCTCACCCAAGGATATTTTTCCATTGATTTTTAGAAAGAGTGGAAGAGGGAGGGAAAGACAGAGAGAAATATTGATGTGAAAGAGACACAAGGATATTGCCTCCTTCATCAGCCCTGATCAGGGCCAGGGAGGAGCCTGCAACCAACTTAAATGCCCTTGACCAGAATCAAACCCGGGACTCTTTGGTCTGCAGGCCGATCCACTGAGCCAATCAGCTAGGGCCTTTTTCTTTAGTTTTTTTTTTTTTAATCCCTTTTTTCTTTCTTTATCTCTCAATTTTGTGCAGTCCCAACTCCTGCAAATTAGGATTACAAGCTGTGGCTTGAATCTCTTCTGCATTATAGGTTCCTCCAAAACCTGTATTTTATTATATTAGTTTGTTCTCTTGTAGGTTCCTTTAAATTGAATCCTTTAGCTGTCCTTCAGTTTTCATGCTTCACCCATCAAGCAATATTATAGTTAAACTAGAGGCCCGATGCATGAAATTCATGCAAGGGGCTCGGCCCTCGCAGCCCCAGCTTCGTCCAGGAGGTCGTCAGGAGGGATGTCCGGAAGGTTGTTCAGCTGTCTGGTCTAATTAGCATATTATGCTTTTATTATTATAGATTATTATAGATGGACAACCTCCAGATGCTGGCCACTAAGTTTCTTTAAGGGACCTGATGGAGAACTTCACTCATGGGTTTTCATCCCCACTGAGTTGGCAGGGATTTGAGAAAGGACTTCAGATGTGAGGACCTTCTCTTTGCCCAGTTATAATTAACCTACCTGGCAAAACCCAGAAAAACAGAAACCTGGAAATGTGGATTTTAAAATTTGTGTGTGCATGTAAGT